GGCCTCGGGGCGCCGAGCGGGAGAGGGGCCCGGAGGCCGCGACAGGCCGGTGGCTTATTTCTGGAATGGTTTTGCAGAACGTGGGCTTGGTTGTAGTTTAGTCGCAGGGCTGGCTGAGGGTGTTCATGCAGACACTTCGCGGCAATCCCGACATTCACGTAGCTATTATTTTTGAGAAATAGGAAGGACGGCATGGCGAGTTCCTCTTTGCAGATACTACTTGCAGAGGGCGCCTTGCGTAACGTGTGGGTTTGGAAATGAATCGGAAGGAGACTCAGCGGCAGCCGCAGAAGGAAGCTCTTGAGGAGCTGGGCCCACTGAAGTAGGAGCCCGGGTGGGCCCCAGGCTCTCCAGAAGGGACACCCATTCTGGTGCTGGTCCCAGAAGCAGGAAACTCAAAGGCCTGTCTACAAACCATTCAGTTATTCATTGAGGTGCCTGTAGCGAAGTCTCTGTTTCTGGGCAAATGGTGGCGAGCAAGTAAAAAACCTGGGTCTACGCTCTCCCAGGTTGGGCGTTGTGGCAGATGATGAACAAGTCACTCTACAGAAGACGGCCGTATGGGCATAATAGGAACCGGGCGGCAGGATCTGTTCTGGGGAGGGAGGATGGCTGTTCCTGAGGAAAGGACATTGAGACCTGCAGGATAAGTGTGGGTGGGACGGAGCCAAGTGGAGGCCAGGAGCCCAGGTGCAGCCCAGCAGGAGGGAACAGGATGCTTTTTGGAAATAAGCCAGGCACGGTGGCTCGCACCTGAGTCCCAGCTGCGCTACTCGGGAGGCCCAGGCAGTAAGAGCGCTTGAACCTAGGGAGTTCGAGGACAGCATGGGCCACAGAGTGAGACCTCCGTCTCTAAGAACAAACACGAACATGGTCAGGTGGGTTGTCACTCACAGATGGGCAGAGTCAAGAGCTGGTCCTGGAGAGACCAGTGGGGCTGTGAAGACTGGGGGCTTTGTATGCTGAGAGCAGGAAGCTGTGGGAGGAAGGCAGTGGTCCCCAGCCAGAATCCAGAGTGGCTTGGAGGTGGCCAAAGATTTGAAGACAGCCACAGAAAAGTGGACAGAGACAAGAAAAATAAGTACCAAACTGTGCATCCAGGTAGTCACAGAAAGGAAATGGGTTTAGAATGAAGCAATGTGGGTTAAAGTTAGACCCTGGGGAAATCTTGCAGGGGCCTCTAGGCCTGCGAAGAACTGGACTAGGTGAGAAGAGGAAGCTTTTGATCCATGTCACTCCCTGGCCCAGAACTACATCCTGCCCACAGGTGGGTTGAGTTCAGGACTGCTGCTTCCAGCCGCCAGCAGCCAGGTTCAAGTGAGAGCTGACTCACCTAGGGCCCCTTGACACAGCCTCAGAGCCAGGTAAAAAGCCACACGCAGGCTGGGCACGATGGCTCACGCCTATAATCCCAGCACTTTGGGAGGCCGAGGCGGGGCGGATCACCTGAGGTCAGGAGTTCGAGACCATCCTGGCCAACATGGCAAAACCCCATCTCTACTAAAAATACAAAAATTAGTCCTGCCTGCTGGCATATGCCTGTAATCCCAGCTACTAGGGAGGCTGAGGCAGGAGAATCGCAGAACCCAGGAGGCAGAGGTTGCAATGAGCCAAGATCACACCACTGCACTCCAGCCTGTGTGACAGAGTGGGACTCTGTCTCCAAAAAACGAAAGGTCACACACAGGTGTGTGTGTGTGTGTGTGTGTAGGGGCAAGGGAGTTTCCTACTGTCTTCCTAGCAGAAATGGAGAGAAACTGTGAAGGCCAGAATGACAGAGCGGGCTGTGTGTGGCCTGGGACTGGCAACAGAAGTGTCGAGCTGCCGGGTTTCAGGCCAGTACAGAGCACGGCTCTACCTGGGTTATGTGCTGCAGGCCCTAATGGTTAGAGACACCTGTCACTGGTGAGGGCAGGAATCTATGCAGGAGGGAGTGTGGGAAGCTGGCCTCACTGGTGGGTGGGGTTGGAGACTTTGCCAGGCCTAGTCAGGAAAAGCTGCTACAGAACAGCAAAAGTGCTCCTAGCGCAGCGATACCCAACCTTTTTGGCAACAGGGAGTCGTTTCCTGGAAGACCATTTTTCCATGGAGAGGGAGGGCGGGACTGGTTTCGGGATGGAAGTGTTCCACCTCCCAGCAGGCATTAGGCAGACTGTCCTAAGGAGCACACAAAACCTAGACTCCTGGGGTGCACGGTTCACAGGAGGACTCCTGCTTCTGTGAGAGTCGAATGTCCCACTGATCTGACAGGAGGCTGCGCTCAGGTGGTCCTGTGCCATCGCCGCTCACCTCCTGCGTGCAGCCCTGTTCCTGAAAGGCCACGGACCAGTACCTGGGGTTTGGGGACCCTCACCCTAGGGCATGAAAGCAGGGAAACCTGGGTCTAATGGGTTACTGTCATTCTCCCTGTGATTCAGGGAACAGACAGGACAGAGGTGGAAAGGAACGTGGTCACCAGGAGTCGGGACAGCACCCTTCCAGGTCCTTCCCCTGGGGTCGAGTAAGCACCCTGTGCGTAGCCCTTCCTGGCCGCCCGTGGGCTCTGGGATCTAAACAGACTATGCAGCCATCCTCACCTTCATTCACAGCTCGGACAGGGACAGTGTGTGTTGAGACAGAAAGACAAAACATATATATGTGAGAGACTTTGTATGAGCCAGTTCCTGATGAAGTCCTATCTGACAGCCTTGTATTTACTGCCCAGGCAGATGGGGCTCTTCTCATTTCGCCCCCCCTTTTTTTTCCTGAGACACAAAACTTAATAGAAATTTTGTTTGCAGTTCTTAGCATTCTTAGTGTAAGCCGATCTGGGACCCATTGCCCACCAGAAGTGGCCCAGTCCTGGTGCAGGGAGAAAGGGAGGGTAGAGTGGGAAGAACCCCATTTTTCCTCAGGGCTAGGGGGCTGGAGATGCTACCCCCTTCTGCCTCTGGGCTCCAGGAAGGAGAACAGATGGACTCTCAGGCCTGTGGCTCCTCCTACACACCACTGCCCCCCAGGTTGGAGGAGAGTGAGAGATACAGGGAGAGAAGGGGACAGAGGCAAGAAAAGATGTTGATCAAGAAAGACGAGAACCAGGGGTGAGGGCTGACGGAGAATCAAAGATAAAACACCAGTAGGCTGGGCGCGGTGGCTCATGCCTGTAATCCCAACACTTTGGGAGGCCAAGGCAGGCAGATCACCTGAGGTCGGGAATTCAAGACCAGCCTGACCAACATGGAGAAACCCTGTCTCTACTACAAATACAAAATTAGCCGGGTGTGGTGGCGCATGCCTGTAATCCCAGCTACTTGGGAGGCTGAGGCAGGAGAATCGCTTGAACCTGGGAGGCAGAGGTTGCGGTGAACCGAGATCATGCCACTGCACTCCAGCCTGGGCAACAAGAGTGAAACTGTTTGAAAAAAACAAACAGTAAAAAAAAAAAAAAAAAAAAAAAAAAAAAAAAAAAAAAAAAAAAAAAAAAAAAAAATATTGAAAGAGTGGGGGAGGGGAATAAAACAAAAATCTACTGCAAATGCAAACCAGCCTGGAAGATGGTGTGGTGCCCGGAAGGTCTTGGAGGCTGGAGGATGTGAAATACAGGACGACAGTGGGGGAGGTAGGGGCTCAAATGTGGTCTTGGAGCACGGGCAGATAAGATCTAGGCGGTAAGGAGAGGATGATCCATGTGTGATGAGGGCAGACGGGGTTCAGAGAGGAAAACCAAGGCCAGCTGGTGAGTTGTGTATGTGAAAAGCCCGCGGGCCCTGCACCTGGGCATGACCAGTAAGCCTGGGAAGCTAGGAGCTCAAGAGCAGGCCAAGAAAGGGACTCGAAAGGCAGCAAGGACACACGTGTTGGCATTGCTGGTGGACATAGCGGTTATGACATGCTTGGGCAGAAAGCTGCCAGCAGGGAGGTCTGTGAGACTTAAAAGAGTAGGATTTAAAAGACTGTCAGGTCGGAGCACAGGAAAGACCTTGAGTGTGGAGGGGAGCTGGGTCATGGGACGCAAGAGCCATTTCTCATGGATCCATTTAGCCCAAGTACAGGTGTAGACAGGGGCACGACAGGGGCGCATTCCTAGGCTTGGGGGTTTTTCAGCCCGGGGAGTCTGGAGGGCAGTGGGCAGGGTGATGGGGAGCAGCATGTAGGTGGAGCCTTGTCGAGAAGCGTCATGCACAGTGGAGAGTCGTCCAGGAGGTCGGGGAGCAGGTGCGGACCAGCAGCCAGGAAGGAGGCGATCCCTGGACATGAGACGGGGCGAGGTTGTGTCACTGCCTGTTGGGTCATCCTCCAAGGATGTTGAAGTTACCAGGGAGACAAGTGAACCAGGAGGTCGAAGCGGAGGATCCTGGGGTTCTGTAGACGGTAGCTCGTGGCATCAGCGACCGAGCAGAAGTGTGGAAAGTGGATAGGCTGCTGGGGGAGGGATGGGGCCAGAGGCGGAGAAGCCCTGAGGATGAGTTGTGGAGGACATGGAAGGACCCGCATGCCTGGTTGAGCTTGCTCCATTGGGGCCTGTCCCAAGAGCCCACACTCCCTGGGAGGAGTGGAGCGAGCCTACACACGCTGGGCCCCCCTGGGCAGGGGCATGGACCAGGACAGGTGTGGTCTCCAGCAGCCCCCGTCAGGCTGGGTCCCCTGGTTGCCACAGACTTGCCTCTGGGCCAGCTGACAGGAGAGGTTTGTGGGGACTTTGGGCCCCAAGGCTGCTGCTCAGGGCGTTCTGCTGTCCCGTACTCTGTACCCCAGTCCCTGAAGAGGAAGGAGAAGGAATACGAGCATGAGATGGAGCGGCTGGCGCGGGAGAAGATTGCCACGCAACAGCGGCTGGCAGAGCTCAAGCACGAGCTAAGCCAGTGGATGGACGTGCTGGAGATTGACCGCGTGCTGCGGCAGACGGGCCAGCCCGAGGATGACCAGGCCTCCACCTCCACCGCCTCTGGTGAGCCCCAGCCCCCGCGCTGGCCCCACAGTCCTCAGATGTTACACGTCAAATTCCAGCCTCCCTGGCCAGGCTCTTGCCTACTAGAAAAGATGGCCCCAGTCCCAGCCCCATCACATTCCCACGCCCCCATGAGCATCTACGCCTCCAGCCGCTTGCTTCCCCCGCCCTTCTGACCTGCTCCCTGCGCCTGTTCCCCACAGAGGGTGAGGACAACATAGACGAGGATATGGAGGAGGACCGGGCGGGCCTGGGCCCACCTAAGCTGAGCCATCGTCCCCAGCCGGAGCTGCTGAAGTCCACCCTGCCACCCCCCAGCACCACCCCCGCGCCTCTGCCTCCACACCCGCACCCTCACCCCCACTCCGTGGCCCTGTCTCCTGCCCACCTCCCCGTGCAGCAGCCGCAGCCACAGCAGAAGACCCCTCTGCCAGCCCCTCCTCCCCCACCGGCTGCCCCTGCCCAGACACTGGTGCCAGCTCCGGCCCATCTGGTGGCAACGGCTGGGGGCGGCTCCACGGTCATCGCCCACACAGCCACCACGCACGCTTCAGTCATCCAGACTGTGAACCACGTTCTGCAGGGGCCAGGCGGCAAGCACATCGCCCACATCGCCCCCTCGGCCCCCAGCCCTGCTGTGCAGCTGGCGCCTGCCACACCCCCCATTGGGCACATCACAGTGCACCCTGCCACCCTCAACCATGTGGCCCACTTGGGCTCCCAGCTGCCCTTGTACCCGCAGCCCGTGGCAGTGAGCCAGCCCGTGGCAGTGAGCCACATCGCCCACACCCTCTCGCACCAGCAAGTGAACGGCACAGCCGGCCTGGGGCCCCCGGCTACTGTCATGGCGAAGCCGGCCGTGGGGGCTCAGGTGGTGCATCACCCCCAGCTGGTGGGCCAGACCGTGCTCAACCCTGTGACCATGGTCACCATGCCCTCCTTCCCAGTCAGCACGCTCAAGCTGGCTTGAGGACGAGGCCACTCAGAGGCCCCCAGTGGGGACAGGGAGGGGGACCTGTCCCCCACTCTCTCACCCACCAGCTCCACACATTCCAGCCAGGCCCAGGCCCGCCCCCCCCGACCCACCCCCAGGCCTCCTAGGGGAAGGGGGTGCAAAGACTCTGAGCCAAGGGAGGGAAGGGCCACCCAGGGAGATGGGCACCGGGCAGGGGGCCACCCTACTGCACTAGGACTTGGTAAGATGACTCTGAGAAAATGCGAGACTCTGGTGGAACGTGCCACCTGTCCGGCCCAGTGCCAGCCCCAGCGCCGCTCCTGCTTCCCCTCCCTGCCCTCGGAAATCAGTGCGATGTGGACATCACGCTCCCTGACTTCTCCCCTGCCCTGCCCCACCTTCCTGTGCTGCTGCTGCTATTGCTGTCTGGTGAGGTGGCCCAGGCCCCCGGCTTTCCTCCGGAGCCCCAGTGTTTTCTTCCCAGGTCTTTGCAGGGGAAATGGGGGAAGCAGAACCGAAGCCACTTGGCCCAGAAAGCTGCCGACTGGGGTGATAAGGGGCCCTGCTCTGAGCACAGGTGACAGATCATTGGAAGTGGCTGGTCTGGAGTCCCACCCGGACAGGTGGGGCCCCAGCCTGGGGCTCTCTGACCCGGTTGCAGTCACTGTGATTCGTTACCGTAGAAACTACTTAAAATGATTCTCTACCAACAATAAACCAAACCCAGCCACTGCCAAGCTTCCTGTGTCCTCAACCCAAGCCCTGCCACTGGGCTCTGGACCTCAGGAGGGCAGGCTGAGGTGGGGAAAGAAGGACTTGGCTGTCCTGCCCCCTTCCCTGTCTCCTGCAGCCTGGGTCTGGATGGGACGAGAGCCACTGGGCATCTGTCCCCAGTCCCTAGCTCTGGGCTTGGCTCTTGGCTTCCAGAAGGCAGCAAAGAGGGGCGCTGTCCTGCGTTCAGCCCCTGATCTCTGACCTCTGCTGAGTGCTGGGCACTCCTCCGAGGGACAGGTGGGCCTGGCGGCCTGTGGGGTTTGGGCGCCTCCTACAGTCTGGGAGACACGGACCAGCAGCTGGTCTTGTTTCCAGGAGCGTAGAAGCCACATCGTTGAGGCATCAGAAAGGTAAAAACGCAGCGGCTTAGCTAAGCCCTAAGCCTGTCCCCAGGCCAGCCCTGGGGCCTATACAGAACAGGGCTGGAGCTAGGCCTGCTGCTTCTGCTCCAGCCCTTTGCCTGTGTCCTCCTATCCCCTCAACACCCGGCTTCTCCAGAGGGCATTTTTGAGTGGGCCCTCCCCGGGGAGCTGCTGGGCAGCACCTTTCTCTGAGAAAAGGTCCTTGTTGGGTCAAGGACAGGGCTGAACGTGGAACGGGCAGGAGTCAGGGGCTCTGTGTTAGGGCGTGGCTTTCTCTGCCTCTGCCTGGGCCACCTGCTTTGGCCTCTCCTTGTATGTGGATATTTATTACAAGTGGCCTTGTGTCAGACACGCTCAGCTCTCCACCTGGACACACACCAGTGGCCTTTCAGTGTAGCGGGAGGAAGCCAGTGTCCCTGGGTGTGAAGTTCACAATGATGGGCTGGGGCAGGGGCCTGGGCAGGCGAGGGGGCCAGGAGGGAGGGGACAGAGTTGAGGATTTCCTGGAGTGCCCTGCAGGCGCAGAGGAGGTCAGCAAAGGTCTTGAATAGATTTTCTTTTGAAATAATCCTTAGATGCCTAAGAATTCCCTTCCCATTCCCTCCTGGTCCTGGACATCTCCCAGGGGACTGTTTCCTTATTTCTCTCTCCTGGTGTGGGTAAAGGGACAGTTACAAACCAGGTCATCACCCTCAGAGGCTGAGCCCTGTACCCACCCCAGCACAGCCACCTCCACCAGACCCCCTGGCTCTGGGAGAGCCAGCTTTGCTATTCCCATTGTGACAGCGATGGCAGGCCTGACCCACCGGACGGTCAGAGTAGCCTGTGGAGCTCGCCCCTCCCTCAGCCTGCCCACCTCTCCCTGCATCCTGAGGCCAGTGGCCCCCGGGCCTGCACAGATACCTCATCATCCACCTGCTGCCCCTCCCCGTCCCTGTCCCCCAGCAGTGGGGGCCTGCAAATCTAGTGCCGAATGACTATGTCCAGATTAGTGACGATGGGTGTTGCTGTTGTTCTTGTCGTTTGTGAACGCTGTGATGCTATGTGCCCAAGTGGGCAGCCACCACCCAGCCCTTCCTTGGGCGTCTCCCCCTGAGAGCTGTCAGGACCACATCTGTCCTCACCCTGTGGGACCGCCTGCCACTCCCTCCCTAGCCCTTCCAGCCTGGGACACACACACAAACACACACACACGCACACACACACATCTTACCTCTCATGCGTGTTTTACCTTTTGATGTTCAGAGTGGCTCACTGGCTGGGAGTCCTTACCTCGGGGAGAGGGGGAGGTTGGTTCCTTGGGGGGGCCAAAGGCAGGGAATGCCTGGAGGGTAACTTGGGGGGTCACCATGACCCCTTCTTTCTCCAGAAACAGCTGCTTCTCCCCCCATCCCAGGGTCCCACCCCCAACCCCCAAAGAGGTGGCCCTTGTTTACAGTGAGGACTCGGCCACTGTGTCTCTGTTTCCTGAAATATAAACTGTAGCGACCCCAGACTGTAGAGATTTTTATGTGTTTGGATACATCTGCTGTGTGGGAAAAAAAAAACAAAAACAAAAACTACAAAAACCCTAATTTTGTACATACTGTATTTTTACTATTGAACTGTATTCTAGTGGCTGTTCATGCTCCAAGACTTTAGTTACCGAGACATGAATACTATCCATGTAATAAGCACTTGCCTGGAATAAAATATAAAATTGAAATAAACCTGCACTGAAACCTGAGATGGAGCTGCCAGCCTGCAGCATCTGGGTCATTTTATTGCAAAAGGAGGCAGAGGCCTGTAGGGAAGCGTGCGGCAGGAGCGGCGAGATCACCTGTCTCAACCCTGTCTGCCCAGCAGAGTCCTCCAGCAGCTCTGACCGGGTGCCTCGGCCGCTCTGAAAATGGCAGTTCTGGTCGGTCTGAAACTTCTGCAGAGTTTCCTATTTCCTCAGACCATTTTACAAGTATGATCTTGTTTCATCTTTCAACAGCCAAGTGAAGTAAATAAGCAAGACTTAGCCCCATTTTGGCAGATAAGGAAACAGGATTGAGGTGGCCCAGTGACTTGTCGAGGCCACACGGCTAGCTGGAGACTTCGTTGGAGCTGCAGTCAGACCTCTCCACTGGGTACAGAGTTCTCACCCAGCATCTGCCACCCTTTGTGGCACCCGGGGCCAGTGCTAGACTCGGATCCAGTAAAAAAGGTACAGGGGAGTTGCCCCAGGATCTGGGCACAGAGGGCGAGGGCTTCCTCAGAAGCTGCTGCCTGGGGTGTGGTTGTGACAGGTCAGCCGGGGAGTCCGTACAGCTGGCCTCTAAGGGAAAGGAACAAGGGGGAGAAGAGGCTGGACGTCAGGGGCCAAAGAGCTGTGTTCTCAGCCGGGCTGGGAGCCCCTTGTCCCTGCGGCTGTCTTCTCCCCATGGGCAGGCTGTCTCGGGAGGTGGCCGTGTGGGAAGTGAGGTCAGGAGGCCACTAGCTGGGCCTTGCTGGAGACCAGGCTGGCTGAGGGGACCCAGTTTCTCATTTCCACCCTGACAGTACCTGTCTGACTCCCAGTCCCCGCAGGGGAGACTGACTCTGCGTCTCTTCCTGAGGTGGGGTGGGTAGGGGTTACCCTTGAGGAAGGGAGTGGTGTCTTGGATCCTGTTCTCTGAAAGGGTTGACTTCAAAAAGTTCAGGCCGGGCGCGGTGGCTCACGCCTGTAATCCCAGCACTTTGGGAGGCTGAGGCGGGCGGATCACCGGAGGTCAGGAGTTCGAGACCAGCCTGGCCAACATGGCGAAACCCCGTCTCTACTAAAAATACAAAAATGAGCCGGGCGTGGTGGTGCCATAGTGCCAGCTACTCAGGAGGCTGAGGCAGGAGAATCATTTGAACCCGGGGGGCGGAGGCTGCAGTGAGCCGAGATCCTACCACACTGCACCCCAGCCCGGGAGACAGAGCAAGACGGTCTCAAAAAATTTTTTAAACTTCAAAATGAAAGTTCTGAATCCAGCCCTCCCCACTGCGCCTGCCCTTTTCACTTGTGAGACGCGGGCTCCCTCTGCTGGTAGCTCCTGGAAGAGCTGGGTCACTTCCATTGGCCCACTAGTGCCGCTTTAGGGAAGGGGTAGGGTGAGGGTTAACCTTTCCTGGGTGCATACTCTGTGCCAGGCCCTGTGCCCACTGGGAACACGAATGAAGACCCTCCCCTGGCAGTGATGACTTGGCTGTCATCTGAGGGCTGTCACTAACTCTTTAGGCAGAAGCTGTACTCAAGGCTCCCCCTCACCCACAGCTCAGCTGGAGCTTGTAAGAAAGGGGCCTGTGGTCAGGATAAAGTATGAATCCAGGTGCGTCCGTTTACCAGCTCCTGTTCTGTAAGAGACCTGACTTTCCAGAGTGCGAAGGTTGCTCGGGATGGTGTTTCGAGAGCCCGCTGTGCCGCTTGCTCTTCCTGCCCCCAGCTGTTTCGTGGTTTGGGCTTCGGGATTCCCTCTGGTCCCAGGATCCCAGTCCTGTAGTCTGGGGGAGCAGGGCAGGATGGAAGTGTGTGAAGGCACTGGGTTACTCCCAGGCTAGGTGAAATTCCCTTTAGGTAGTCGCAGCAAAGGGAATTCTGATTCCTCCAAGCAACAGAGTCAGCTGGCGGGTGGGGGGTATTCCCCGGGGGGGCTCATCGAGTTTCCTGGCCCCAGAGCTCTCTGCATCAACTGGTTTCTTTGTTCGGGCAGCTCTGGCCACTAGTCTGTATTCTTTCCTAAAAGCTGGGTTCAGGGCCAGGTGCAGTGGCTCAAGCCTGTAATCCCAGCACTTCGGGAGGCCAAGGTGGGAGGACTACTTGAGGCCAGAGTTCAAGACCAGCCTGAGCAACATAGTGAGCCTCTGCCTCTACCAAAAAAATATAAAAATTAGCCATGGTGGTGCGCCTGTAGCCCTAGCTACTTGGGAGGCTGAGTTGGGAGGATCGCTTGAGCCTAGGAGTGCAAGGCTGCAGTGAGCCATGGTCATACCATTGCACTCCATCCTGGGAGAGACAGCAAGACTCTGTGTCTGTCTGTCTGTCTGTCTCTCTCTCTATA